TTCTAGAATTAATCTAGAATTACTCTCAAATTACTCTCGAAGTGTAATATAACACATTTCTCTAATCACTCGTAAGATAGTGAATATTCAAGGTACTGGATCGAGAAAAACAGCAATTAAATGTACTGTTCCTCAATCCTGATCCCCGATCACCACATTCCATGAGACTTATAACTCTTAGCGACTGGCCATAAGCGCTTGCACTCGCAATGAGCACAAAGAGAACAAACCTGCACGCTGGCCACACGTGTCGGTCTAAGAACAGTCTTCTCTTTTCGGCTTATACCAATCGTCTATAACTCTATTGCGTCTCAAATACACTTTTACATCTTTCTTCTAATTTTAAACAAATATCTTTACAATGTTTGACCTCTTTATTAATTCAAACTCTTTATACTCTACTTCTAAAATTTAAACTCTTTGTACTCTACTTCTAAAATTTAACCTCTTAAAACCTGAAAATAAAACCTGAAAAATAAATCATACTCACCCTTAAATACTCTTTAATCCTTCACAAAATCACAAGAATACAAAATCTTCTAAGCAGGGCTTCTTCACGCAGTGGAAGCGTGCCCTGGGCCCATAACCTATTGGATTCTTGGATTTGGAAGGCGTATAAATAAAACACTTTATTTATATATACGCTGTACGTTGTATTCAACACTCCGACTGGCGGGCCGTTTGAATAACTTGATTCAATAATATGTAGGAAATAAATTTGTTATAATGTAATATAATGAAATAATAACAATAATTAACATAAAAATTAAACTTTTATTTATTTTGAACATAAATTAAATAAATTGTTTCACAACAAATCTTTTATCTTTTACTTAAGTAACTTAAAATAGTATTTAATACTTTTTTACTCTTTATGACTTGAGCTTTTCCTTTAACTCTTTGCTCGAGTAAATCAATCACATGTTTTTCACTTTTTTGGTACTCGCATAAGATAGACTCATAAGATATAGCGCTATAGGCCATTCTTTTTAACATTGCTTTAGATACTACCTCTACAAGAGGATTTAAACTTTTTAGGTAAATTTGACAATTTTTCTCTTTATCCATAGATTCTGTAAGAGAAATAACACTTTTTGTATTTTGTACTAAATCATCATATGAAATAAATTTACGAACTAATTTTTCTAATAGTATTACATCACATATCGCATTGTGCGCATCTTTTATAGATAAATTCATTAACTGTCCAGCTAATGTAGTTAATTTAAAAGCGCCTTTTACTTTTCTATCAGGAAATTGCTTTCTGAACAAACTTAAGCTATCAGTAAATCCTATAACTATTTTGCTAAATTCTTCTATCAAAGAAGCTTCTTTTATTTTTAATAGAAGACGTGAAGAGTCAAAGTTGCAATTATGCGCTACAAGTATACAGGGCTTGTTTATAGCATTTAAAAAGGCTAACAAATCATTTAAAAGTAATCTTATAGGCGACGATTCCACTCTTACTCCGCGAAAATATAAATCACTGCCTTCATTTGATAATCCATGTATTACAGAAGCTTTTGCGTTAATACGTTTAGTGGAATTAGCATACTTATTAAAGACTGTATTGTTATATTTCATAGCTACTTGCAGAATATCGTCAGTCATAGAAAAGCCACTGGTTTCAATATCGAAAAAAACTATTGCTATAGAATGTTGAGCCTGATTTTTAATACGATCTTCAAGTTCACTGCTAGTAGTACTAGTATCGGTAGTAATAGCCGAAGGCGCCTTGAATAATCCAATATTACTCTCGTAAGTTTGTCCTTCCATAGTCTCACGTAGATTTCTCAACTGAGCTCGATTTTTTTTAAGAGTATGTCGATGTAATTTGAAAGCTGGCGTTTTAGCTTTCTCAGATCGCATTTTGGCAGATTTTGTGACTTGTTCGATATGTTTGGATAGGTGAGATCCAGGACTTAAATTCCATTTCAGCAGTGCATCTTGAAGATACTTTTCACCTTCATTTTTCTGCGCTATAGAACTAGCCACTCGATAATCGTATGATTCCGAGCAGTCGTATGGTACAGCTTTTGGTGCCTTTTTAGATATTATATTGTTTAAACTCTCGTTTGCTTGTGTGGAACCGCAACATACGAAAGCCTCAGCGTTGTCAGATAATTTTTGGAAAACAGTTTTCAGTTCTTCAAATAGTATTCCATTTTTTAAACCTCCCCTTACTGTTCGGTGTTCGTAATTTTCTTTATTTCTTAAATAACCACACCACTCACCACAGTTATCATGGACATTGAAGGCATGAAAGGGAATATTTTTTATACTAGCTGCCATTGCCATAACATTACCACGATTCTGCGACATAGCATATGTGAAACATTTATGTAAATATTTTATACTTTCCCCAGTTAACTCTTTATCTGGATCTTTACTT